TCGACCGTAGACTTGATCAGCACCATCTCCAATAGAGGTGCTGTAGAAGCCGGTTTCTGAAGTATTGGAAGGTAATGCCTCAAGAACCCACTCAAGGTTGTTTTCGAATGTGCTGTTACTTGTGTAGTTTGTATTGTCTGAGCAAAAAGTGAAGAGAAGATTTGGGGAGACTGCGTTAAAGAGCATGAACAGCCTCAAGATCAGCAAAAGCATAGCTGAATGTGAACAATTGCCCTTTTTTCCCTTTTTTTTTGCTCTCTTTGGACTATGATCTTTGCATTACTACTTTTTAGCTTGAGAACTGTAAATATGGAAGTTGACTTAATCAGAAAGGCCATTAACTGTTTCTTCGGGGCATTTCCTCTTCTTAAACGACTTGTGGTCACAAATTTTAGGTAAGGTTAAACTCATGAACATCACAAGGAAACTTCCCCTGTGAAGCTGGAAATTCACGAAGACTTCAGTATTTTTGGCAAAGTCTGACTCAAACTCACAATTACCCCTACAATTTTTGTTAAATGTCATTCGTAAAGATTGATTTAGAGGTCAGTGATAACCAAATGTCTTAATGGCATGGTAGGAATTAGATCGTTTCATTATAAGACTTTTCAAGCCCGTCCGAGGGAGTTAATATCTATTCCCTCTAATTTCAATTAAAATAGTATCTTTTTTTAAATATCGAGAAAACATATAATCAATAAAATGATTGTGATACTCAATCTCATATCATATATAAATGTATTATCAATATATAAGTTCATCGTTATTAATAATTTGAATTTAAATTTTTTGAGTCATCACATCCAATGGTTACAATAATAATAATAAGTAATTGGAACAACTGCTAATCAATTGACTGAACGGAAGAATAAAATGCCAGGGCGACTTTGACACTTAAGGCATGGATGAAGAGAGATTCCATGTCATTGTATGGCTATGAAGGGGGCTTAAATGTAGGTACTGGTTCAAAGGTTTTCTTGAGTAAGCCTAGAATTCGACGTAAATGAATAGTCAAACTGAATTAGTATACGCAAAATACAAATTACTAATGGCTAAGCGTCAGGAACTTTTGATATAGACAGGATTTGACCAAACACACTATGTCGTCACTGCTTTGATATTATTCTACCCAACCAAATCTTCCATTAACCAATACCCATTTGTATTCGACTTTGATCTTGAATTTCCCAAGGTTACCATCACTGTAATTATTAATGCTTTACCTTGAGCTTGGACAGCAGAAGAAGAGTCTACTTTGCCCGGTTTGAGTCATGTAAGAACAAATTAAAGCATGAGTATGACGCCGGGGACCATTGATATTCATGTGTGACAGTTTACGTGTGGAGCAAAGATATTGCACCATGGTCATTGCTTAGGCAATCAATTGTTGCCCTGGTTTCTGATGTAGAAACTAGGCCAGTGACTGCCATTGACATTGAATATTCCTCTAGGTATATTATAAACATGGCATAATAATTAAAAAAAGTCAAATAAACTTTTATATTTTTATTGCATTATTCAATCAAACTCTTAGATTATTACTTGCATACTATACTTGTTAGTAAATTAATCTAAATTTGACTATGTTTAATTCATTTTTTGATTGATCTTAATTTCTTTGAAATTTGTTATTTCCGTCTTTAAAACTAATCAATTTAGAACTATAGATGTTAAGGGCGTAAAGTACATGTTGTTTTGTAAATCTCCTTTCCCGACTTTATTATTTTATAGGCTACACATATCTTATAAATACTAAATTAAATTTTAAAATTATCATCTGAACCCGCACTCAAATATCCTAAAACATTACTGGTTAAATATCTGAATTCGTTAAATACTTTATTACAATAAATTTAAAAATAAATTATATATATTTCTTAGAAAAATTAAATAAATTAATTAAAGTTAGTTCATACAAAAAAATAAATGAAAGTTCAAAATCAATAATGAATGAATTTTAGTAAGTATTACATTAATTGTAAAAAATTTAAACAAAAATTATTTTATATAAAATTAAATTTTAATATTAAAAGTTATTATTTATAATCAAATTTGAATAATAAGTACTTTAAAAAACCTATGACGAGAAGAAACTACTAAAATTCTATGCAAACTTCATAATAAGCCTCCAGACCCTGCTGCACCACTTTAAGCCTGAGGATATACTGGACACCTTGACTCGACCAGAACCTTTTATCAGCTTGCTGCGCATTTACCGGTACATTGGTAATGTCTTCTTTGGTTTTGTTAAGGAAAGTTGTTGCTTAAAACATTGTAAGTGCTACTTTAAACAAGTATTGCTAATAACATTTTGAACCAATGGAATAGAGATTTTGAACATTGAACTTTGATCCTGTCAATGAAATCAGTTGACTGCTGTTAGATTAAATTTAATTTGTTAATGGGGTCAATACATTCAATGGGTTGAGATATTAAATATTTTCATTTTATATTAAGTTCGAGCAATAGATATTTTTAAAATCACTACCAAACCTGTCATGAGTAGTAACTACTATTCAAATTCTATTTGAATTTGATTATAATTATTTTAATTTTATTTAATAGGGTTAAATAATACAAAGTAGGAGATTATAATGTACTCATTATCATTCTTAATCAGAGCCACATCACTTCAAGAATTTTCAAAAAAGGAAAAATAAAAGATTGAAGTTGGACTATCCTTTTAGGAAGATTTGGCCCAGACTGATGGGTCACTTGCCTTCGGGCAATAAACAGATCAAAGGACCACTTCTCATTTCCCGCGTTTTTTCCAAAGAAAGTTAGCACTCATTTCCAGTTCTTCCAACTCTGGTCGTTACGGCAGTTATTCTGAAAAGATCCTCTGGTTTTTTTTATAATTATAAAAAAATTCAAATTTTATTTTTTAAATAGAGAATTATGTACCAACTAAGTGCTTGAATGCTCTTCCATTTACTCTTTTCTTATCAGAAATTTCCCTACTCAAAATTTTGGCATGGCAGAGAAGCCGTTGACCAGAGACAAGCTGGCATCCTCTCAGAAATCAAAATCAATGCAATTAAAATACTCTGTGCTTTACCTTTCAAAAAAAAAATACTCTGTGCTTTGCTTTCTGCGGGTATGGTATGAGCCAGAACAGGGATTCCTCTTCATCAACCAAAGAACAGATCACCATTTTCTTGTCCCCTTTAGATAACTAAAGAGTAGCTGTCATGAATAATCAAATTTTAGCCAATTTTATCAGATATTATTTTACTTGTTTTAAGTCTTCAGAAAGTTTTCATTATCTGCAATGATAGCACACTTCTTTTTCTCATTTGGAAAAGAACACAACAGACAAAACGTGGTCCCAAAGGGAATGGAACAAGTAAACCATGAAATTCCAGAGGAAACGTGGAAATTGTTTTCTTGTGGTAATTGATATTCACGGAGGCACTAACCCACAAATGTATCATAGTCAGAAATCTAAAAATTCAAAGAGAAAATGGAATTTCTGTCAAGGCAAGCCATCCCTGTACTTCCAAAGGTCAATCATCTAGGTGCAATATTTGAAATCGTTAAACCATTGACAGAGCAACTTTGAGGCAGCGTTTGATGATGATCAGCAAATCTTCCCACAGAGAAGGCAGGTTGTTGAGGTTGGCATAATGTCACAGCTTCACCTTTCAACATTACCACAACAGATGACATGGTAGGCCTGTTGAATGCATCTTCTTCAACACACAACAGTCCGATATGGATGAGTCTTAAGAATTCATCTGGGCATCCATCCGTTAGTAATGGGTCCATCAATTCCAAGGCATTCCCTTCATTCCATAGATGCCATGCCTGCATCAAAATCCAATGTTGTTACAAACTTTTTTTGCAAGGCTGATACATTGGAGAGAAATGCAAGTAATTTAGCTAGAAAAATAGTTACATATGCTACTAGACTTGAGACACGTTTTGATTGATGGAAGCCTGCATTCCTTCTGCCAGTAATTATCTCAAGCAAGAGTACCCCAAAGCTGAAAACGTCAGACTTAATCGAATATAATCCCGCCATGGCATACTCCGGAGCCATATATCCACTATTGCAAAAACACAGCTAGATTTAGAAAAGGTATCAATAAGCTTGGAAAAACAAGAATTGCGCAGATATGGCTATGTGCTTTGGCAGAGTGGTATTCTCTTCACTGGAATCCACGGCATGGCTAAGCATTTATCTTGACAATCTTGCTAACTTAAGGAAATGAATTGAAATTAGAAGAGCGGCTTACTATGTTCCGACTATTCTAGCTGTATTAGCTTCGCTATCTGCCCCTGCAAAGATTCTTGCCATTCCAAAATCTGAGATTTTTGGGTTCATGTCACAATCCAGTAACACATTACTAGCTTTTATGTCCCTATGGATGATCCTAAGCCGTGAATCCTCATGTAGATAAAGAATTCCCCTTGCAATTCCATTAATAATGTTAAGACGTCTGCTCCAATTGAGTTGTGCACGTTTCTTTGAATCTGATGCAAAAACAAATTTCAGGCAAACACTGTGAGATGTTAATAGATTCAAGGGATTAAAACAAAAAGCTCTAAGCAAACGTGGAGTTAAGAACAGACCAAAGAGGACCACATCAAGGCTGCTGTTGGGCATAAGTTCATAAACAAGCAACTTTTCCTGCTGATCCACACAGAAACCCAGAAGCCCGACAAGATTTTTGTGCTGAAGTTTCAAAATCAGTAGGACTTCATTTGTGAACTCCAGAGTGCCCTGCTCAGAGAAGCTTGAAAGCCTCTTGACAGCTACTTCCTTTCCATCAGGTAGTACACCCTAAAGTGAACAAACTTGTTTTCTTTTAAATTGCAGAAGAGGCATCTTGCATAGTTTAATTTTTGATTAAGATGTCAATAATGAAATGTGTTGAGTATTTGACAGAAATTTCTCTTACCTTGTAGACAGGTCCAAAACCACCTTGTCCTAGCAGCTTTGAATCAGAGAAGTTATCAGTAGCTGAGTTTATGGTTGCCAAATCAAAATAAAAGTCATGAGCCCTTAGCTCATCTAAACCTTCAAAATACTGGTTCTGCATATCTGTGTTCTCAGGGTCGCCAATTTTGTTTAGTTTTTTCTTCCCTGGTACATGAAAACAAAGAGTAAAGTTGGCATCTAAAGCTTCAAAAGAGGAGAAAAGGAATGCTTGCATTTGAGAGAATAACTTTGATTGCTATTCTTACCGTTTCCAGTATCTTTCTTCCTTGCAACACAATACATGGTGGAAGCCAGTAGCAGTATCACTGAAACCGCTGATCCAATTGTAAGAACTGCAATCATCCATATTTTTTTTCCACCACCTGAATTTGAGGGAGGAAATACTAGTATCACTTTCAGAGGATTTTATTTAGTTAGTTATTTATTACCCGGTTCATGTAACCAATTCTTAAATTGAAATAAATTTGCATACCTCCTTTCTTTTTTGTAGAAACAGAGGAGTCTTTGGCGCCATCATAAAAGGCATATAACTCATACCTAAGATAGCAGCTGCGACTAAGAAGTCGTGCCCCACGAGAAGCATAGCACTCAGAAGAAACATCTTTAATGGCAGCCTCAAGGCATTCGTTACAGTCATCTGGGGATAAGTCTCGGGTGCACTGCACCATAGCATACAGGGTGTCATCTGCTGTATATGGTTCTCCTCCAGCAGCATACATATTTGCTGAAGAATTGAAGGCTGCCCTTTTGGTAAGATTTCGCAGCTTGTTCTCTACGACAGATTGGAAGTGTACAGGATCAGAGATGTTAATAATATTATCTTTGCAAAAATTGTCTGCTACATTCAATCGGCCAAAGAAATTATTATCTGAGTAGCGCAATTGGCAATCTTCCTCCCATACGACGGCTTGCGTTCTGTTTGGACAAAGATACATGATAGCCTTTGATGCAACGGAGATGCAGTCTTGGCAGGTTTCATATGAAACATAGTCGAGGCACAGGTACTGACCATAAACTCTATCCGTGCCATTCCCATAAGAGGTATTGTTGTATTTGGAGACAGAAGCTTCTGATGGCAGCAACGAAAGCAGAGTGTTGAGATTATTTTGGAATGAACTATTCAATAAATTATTGCTAGTATTGTCTGAACAAAGTGGGTAGGGAGGATCAGCAAGAGCAAGATCATGAACACCAAAAAGAAAAGAACAAAGCAAAAGCAAACGAATGGTTTGTGTAGAACAGGAATGATCCATATCTTGTCTCTCCAGTCTCTGCAACGCTGCAAGATTGGCTCAACTGCAGCTTAACCTTTAAGTGCAGACCTTAAATATTACTATGAGATAGAAATTCAGACAAGCAGTTTCTGGGGAGCAAGAACTTTCAAGTGAAAGTCAAATCAATGATACTCGTAGATGAATTTCTTACTGGGAAACTACGTAGAGTGGAAAAAACAATCCAATTGTCCTACTTATACAATGACCGCGACCTTTCGGGGTACAAGTCAATCCAACAGGCGGTTGATTATTTGCTAACAGGCGAATAGAAAATTCAAGGGAAAACGAAGGCAGAATCATTGAATCAGGCTGCAACTTTAGGCAGATAAACAAGGCTGATAAAGTTTTAACTACACTTGGTGTGGTTCCAGGAAGGTGCTTTCCACCTGCTGCGCCACTTTAAGCCTGACGGTATACTGGATACCTTGACCTGACCGTAACCTTCTGTCAGCCTGCTGCATGTTTACCAGTATCAACTAGTACATTGGTAAAGTCTTTATTTATTTATTTTTTTAGGAAAGGTAGAAGAGTTGCATTTCTTACATATCTTAATTAAAACATTGTAATTACCACAGCTAATTATGTCACTTAGATAAAATGAAACAAATGTCGTGCATTAATGTATTAAAAGGGAGTAATCGTTAATCTAGCAAACATCCAAAAGTTATAATGGAAGAAGAAGAAGCCCCTAGCCAAAGCTACTTCCACTAAGGCATTTTCTTGTAATTAAAGTGATTTGGTAGCATTTTCTTCTGCCTTATATAGCAGGAAGCAAACAATTATACGTCCAAAAGAGGAAAATTATCCCAGTGCATATAGAGAGAATTTCTAATAATATTTTATGATCACGCCCCATGAACAGAACAATCTCAGCAATATTCTTGTTACATTGAACAAAGGGAATAGAGATTTTGAACACTGAAATTTTGTCCTATCAAGGAGATCAGTTGACAGCTGCTAGATTAAATTTAATTTGTTAATGTGGTCAACGCATTCAACGGGCTGAGATATCAGATACTGTTATCTGATTCATTGATGGATCCATCGTTGAAGACTGATCAATTGCGATCACTCTGCCCACAGAAAAGGCGGGTTTCTTTGGTTCAGGAAGAGCAATCGTATCCGTATCCCTTCCTAAGTCAACCACAATTTCAGACATGGTGGGTCTGTCTGCTGGATCTTCCTGCACGCATAAAAGCCCGACATGAAAGCACCTGTTGATTTCCGGTGTTGAGCATGATTCCAGCAAAAAAGGGTCCACTATTTCCAATTCTTTTCCTTCTCTCCATATTTGCCAGGCCTGCCGATGAATTCACATAAAATCAAAATTTAGAGAGAACCAGCATTCTACTGATGGAGGGATACTTTAATTTTATCAAACAGGTAAACTCACATAAGCAAGAAGTGTCTGGGCATGTTCTGTTAGGTAAAAGCCACTATTTTTTTGCCCACACAGAATCTCTAGCACTATCACGCCAAAGCTAAAAACATCGGATTTCATAGAGAACAACCCCTGCATTGCATATTCTGGAGCCATGTATCCACTGTTTCATGTATAAATGCCAGCCATTTTTTTTCTCTTTTAGTGATTATCAAGCAAGGGTCAAGAATAAAAGATTTAAGGAAGAGCAAACTCACTATGTTCCCACAACTCTTTTAGTGTTAGCTGAATTCTGGTTTTCACAAAAAATTCTTGCCATGCCAAAATCTGATATCTTGGCAACCATGTCCTGGTCCAACAGTACATTGCTGGGCTTTAGATCTCTATGAATGATTTTAAGTCGGGAATCCTCGTGAAGATAAAGAAGTCCCCTGGCAATTCCACTTATAATTTCATAGCATGTCTTCCAATCAAGTTGTGGACGTTTCTCCGGATCTTTAAAAAAAAGAATATTGAAGATCATTTGATAAACAAAAAGATTCACATGAGTTCTAGTCGACTGTGGAAGAATAAAGGGGACATACCAAAGATGAAGAAATCAAGGCTTTTGTTTGGCATAAACTCGTATATGAGCAGCTTTTCCTCACCTTCAATTCCGCATCCCAATAGCCTGACAAGGTTTTT